TTAGTTGGTGCGAGTTGCGCATATTCATTCTATTAATTCTATGAGTAGTTGGTTGGCATCACACGATTAAAAGTATAAAGAGCTATTTTGTATTTGATACTGATTTTATTATATTCTAATCAAAGATTCAGTGTGTGAGTATTTATTCAGTAACAAAATCCCATATCCAACTTCACAAAACACCCCCTTGAAAAAATAGACTTTTTCGTTTTCAGAGAATATCTTCGAAACTATGCCGCGTATGAAAAAATGGTTTATATAACAGTTTTACAGTATTTTATGCTCTATGTAATAGTGTATTCATTTTTTAAATCAAATTTTTTAATTAACATTCTCAGGAAAATACTTAAATTTTTTTTCACGACATTCTCTTTCTCAGAAAAAAGGTACTGCCGTGGGCATGGTTGATAGGGCCTTCCTTTTATCAGTTCCCAAATTCCATAAAAAGAACTTCTGATTTTTGTTATTGATACACTACTTAATAATGACTATCCGATAGATTTTATTTTTAATACTATATTAATAAGCGACTAAAATCTTTATTAAATAAAAAAATTTCAAAGCAGAATAACGATATGTCAGTTGAGAATGAAGATGAGAAAAAGATATGATTTACAGTCCCGTTTATATTTAATATTGAAAATAAATTAAAAAATACGGTTAAAAATGTAAAATTGTCATTCTTTAGTCTTAACAAACTCAGCTGTTTCATTCACACAAACAAAGACCGATTACCTAACATGCATAAAAAGAATATAGTGTATAAAATCAATTGCAATGCGTCGTACGTTGGTCAGACTAAACGTACATTAAAAACAAGAATAACTGAACATAAAAACGACATATGTAAAAATAATGGCAATCTTTCCATTATTAATGAACATCGACTAAGTTTTAATCACGAATTTGATTAGAACAATATAGAGATTGTTGATTCTGAAAGATGGCTATATAGGAGACGCATTGCAGAAATGCTATACATAAAATTACAAAACAATAGCTTAAATTTACAATCAGATACCGAATTCTTCGACCAAACGTATATACCTATTTTAAATAGTTTAAAATGACTCACTGCGTCAAATTACTCATTTTACGTTATTGGATTGTAATATTATTATTGGGGTTGATATTTGTTTATCGTTTGCGCAGTCTCCTTACGTACATACTATTTTTCTTAAGACACTTTTCGTCCTCACTTTATTTGACTACTGTCTGTTGATATGCAACATATTTGTTTCACGTACTTGCGAATAATTTTAACATCTCGATGTAATCTTTATTTTTCGATCCTTTACTTCATGATTGTACTGGTGAGTTTCTCTTTTTGTCTTCCTGAACTTTACAAACTAATATTAAAATGACAATGTTTTATTAGATCTTCTATTCATTACCAAAAAACCATCTAATTTTTTGTCGATAACAGTATAACGGTACCAGAAAAATGTCCAATAAAATTTTTCCATAATCGGAAGCCATATACATCTAATGGCTACATTTTTCCTATCGTACCAACCGGAATTGTTAAAAAAACTATATTTGTTGCAAATTCAAGTTTAGTTTCCGAAATTATATTTGGACAATGTCCAATCCATGAATCTAATAATAATACAGATTGTGGTCCGACATTTGGGAAAAATACTTCTTTCAACCAAGTTTTTACATGATTTGATGTTAATTTGCCTGATTTAGAGGCCGTAACAAAAATATTAGGTGTGTTACGTCCAGACGATCCTCACGATTCTTTCTTCCGGAAAGGTCTACAAGTGACGAGATAGCGAGACCATAAATAAATAACCGACAGTCCGGATGTCGTCTTACCAAAAATCTAAACAAAAGTACTCGCTATCCCGCCATAAAAATTATTTTAAGACAATTCATTTACGAGCGTACGTGCACGAATTGTGAGAACACGAATCATTTCCTCGAAGTCTCAGCTAGAAAAAGTAATAAATATACACTCTACTGTCACCGAAAACAGTAAAACCATAAATATTCACTCTACTGTCAGTCAAATTGCGGATGATTCTCACAAGTTGCGCTCGTAAAAATTAAAATCTGTCATACAGCGAGCCTTGCGAGAAAGGGTGCAAGTGCATTTACTCGATGCGGCCCCTCACGTACATTAAACAAATAAGGCTATAAATTTTAAAATAACGGTGACATCGGTCAAACTCCTTCCCGCCCACAAGACGCCTCCTAACTCCCAACCAATCCTAGGGCTAAAAAACTTAGCCCTTTGTTTTACCGATAAATTCCTCCTCCCATCAGAGCCCGACAAATCAGGGGGAATCAGTATAAAAACCCCGATTTTTGGGTGCTCGCGGTAGTTCATCGCAGTTTTTCCGAGTTAAGGGCAATTGTCCGTGTCGCAAGATCGAGTCGATTGTCTGAGTGAGACGCATCTCGGAGCGAGTCAGTTTGTCCGTGTGTCGGTTGGTCTCTTGGACGTTCCTCGATCTTGTCCGGACGGTGCAGTGTCGGAGTGGTTGCGCAGTTCACTACCGGAGCTGTCTATTGGATCGGCTGCTCGCGGGGCCCAGCAAACATCCTCAAACTCAAGCCGATCAACCCACGCTGACTGTAACAGTGAGGCTGGACCATCGCCGTCGACAGTCAAGCTGATCAACCCACGCTGACTACAACAGTGAGGCTGGACCATCGCCATTGACAGTAAGCCTGCACTTATATTATACAAATCGAGTAAAATTTACTATCGAACTCGATTTTTATTTATTAGTGGAACATACCACCGCAGACGGGGCAACCCCTCGCTGTTCCACTAGGACCGAGCACCCGACTCTCCGCACTGCCCTCATACCCCCTCTTACTGTCCAAGACCGGGGGACCGAAAATCAGACTCAGCCGGAAATTCCTCCACCCCTCGACGTTTCTTACTTCCCCGTTTCAAGTCCTTTATCCATCTTAAATGATCTCCTGGATCTTCTTCCTTCTCCTCCTCCTTTCCTCGCAGATTTATTCCAGGAAGATCCTCCACTTCCTTCATATCCTTCTTCTGATGAAGAACCACTAGATCTTACAGTTCCAAGATCCTCCTCTATTCTTCCTGAATCCCTTCCGTGCTTCATCCAAAACCCGAATGACATACAAGGTTACCTTGTCACTGTAGCCCAATTCTGTCCTGACTGTAGAGTCGTGGTCTACATCCCAGGTATCAACCACCCCTTTTCCGCTCCGATCGCCACTCTCGTAGCAATACGTCCTTCCTCCTTGGGACCTCGCCCACCAACTCTTCACCTTCTCTAACCGATTCATCACACGCTTACACGTATATGTACACTATATATTAATTTAGAAATTGTAATAAATTAATTATGTTAATTTGTAACTATTTTATTTCATTTAATAAATAATATTTCGATGTTCTTTTTACATTAAAGATTATGATTGTGATTTGATTTAAAAGCAACCTTCCCCGCATTCCAACCGTCATCCCCGAGATCGCACTCGGTCCATATCCCTGGCTATAAGGATTGAGTTCCTTGGCCTAAATTTAAAGGACCAACGGGCGTACGGTTCGGGATAAGAGTCATAGTGTGCCGTATACAAGTATTATAGTATGGCACACTGACCTAATTCCGTACCCTTTTTAGTGCGTCCGACTATCTCTCGTAACTCTCCGGAGGGTGAGACGATCGGGAGACACATCTGGTGTCAGTTACGTTCTTCCGAGGCCTCCTCCTTAACCCAGAACTTCCCACGTAATAAAAATCCTGAGGCTTGGACGTAATAGGTGTTTTGAATAAATTGTTCTGCACTCTTGGACCAAATGTTCCTGTAACTTCTCGTAATACTCTATAAACAGAGGCGACAGTAATCTACCATCAACGGAAACTGTCGGTTGTATAGTGTAATTGTGCGTTGTTGCTGATATAGATTGTACTACAGTTTCTACCTTTTTGACACCTTTTTGTACTAAGGTACGACCAGAGTGAAGTTTAAATTGAAAACCATTCTGATCCGAATTATAAATATTTTCCTGTCCACAAGGTGGACTTTAACCCGCGGGTATTTAGGGATACCTGGTGGAGCTAGAAATCCCCAAGGTATCATCCGGTCCCTGGGAACCAGGATACTCAGAGCGCGAGAATATCCTCGCGTACCATAGTGCGTGGCGCAGCGCGTGCAGAGCCCCGTATAGTGTGGGACGAAACCGTCGTGGGCTCCGTGCGGTTCGCGATATTAGCCGAGCCGCGACGACTCGCGGTAACAGGAATATCCGACTGTACCAAGTTCTAGGACTTGAACACGTTAATTCGAGTGGACCTGCGTCCCGCGTCCATCAATCCGACGGACGTGACAGTTACTTTAGGTTTTGACATACATTTCATGGCATACGAAATTTCTTTACCATAAAATGAATTGACAGAATTAAATTTGATGAAAATATCGAAATCATTAGACATAAAAACATGTAATTATCATGTTTTAGGTGATGAAAAAGATTTTGTTTCAATGTTTGATGTTTAATTTGATTGAATAACTTTTGAATGATACTTAATTTTATTCTGTGAGATATCGATTAAATTTATTTTGTTACATGTTTAAAACATGTTAAAATAAATTTTGTTTAAAGTTAAGGTCGTGCACTAGATAGTATGTTTCCGCTAGCTGTCGGTAATAGCTGTCGATAAATCAAGGGGAATCACTATATAAACCCCGATTTTTCGGAGCTCAGAGCAGTTCATCGGCAGTTTTTTGAGTCAATCGTCCGAGACGTAAAAATCCGGTTGACTGAAACAATTCCAAAGTAGTTTGATCAATCGAGCCTTAGTAGTCAGTGCTCAAGTCTTAGTGCTCAAGTCACTGCTCAGTGCGGACTAATTGAGTCCAAGTGCTGAATCCAACATATTTACGGACATTTGGAAGTCCACCTGTCTTCTCGAAGACGACTCCAGAGACTTAGCCGCCAACAATCATCCTCGAAATCGAGGCGATCAACTCACGCCGACTATAGAGGCTGGATCATCCCCGTTGACATGGAAACCCCCGACGCTGAAAGGGTGGAATTCCAAGGAGACCTTATTGCCTACGGTCTTCGACTAGTTAGAGTCCGCCCGACTGTCAGCCAAACCGCCGAACCGACTCCGCCACCAGCCACTCCTCAACCTATACCTGAAATTTCCTACTCCCCCGTTTCCAGTCCCTTATCCTTCTTAGATGATCTCCTGGATCTACTTCCTTCTCCTCCTCCTTTCCTCGCAGGACTTCTCCAAGAAGATCCTGCACCCCCTTCAGATCCTTCTGACGAGGAACCATTAGACCTTTCACTTCCAAGATCTTCCTTTACTTTCCCCGAATCCCCTCCATGCTTTATCCAAAACGCGGTTGACATGCACAATTACCTTATCACTCAATCCTATCCAGAATGTAGAATCGTGGTCTACATCCCTGGTATCAACCACCCCTTTTCCGCCCCAATCGCCACTCTCCTGCCAATACGTCCTTCCTCTTTAGAACCTCGCCCACCAACTCTCCACATACTTTAAACCGATTCACCCTACACACACACACACACACACACACACACACACACACACACACACACACACACACACACACACACACACACACACACACACACACACACACACACACACACACACATATACACGTCCTGTGCTCGGACGAGGAGAGATCTCGATTACAACTACAATAAGCAAAAAGCAAACAGGCAAGGCGAGCAGACGGGTGAACTTCAGCCACCTTGTCGGTCACAGTAAAAATTCAGCGATTGTCAACACTACGGTAACTGTTCACAGCCTCGATATAACTGATAAACAATAGCTAACGTAGCGTCTTTTCTTTTCCTTTCCTTCTGAAAGGTTAGATTACACAAAAGAGAAATCAAACATAAATTACTTTGAATCGTTTACATCTGTCGTTTTTCGGCTAATTTTTAGTTCATTCTTGTTATAAGAAAGCAGATGCTATTTTTGTCGCGATGAATAATTCCGCAAGTCAGCAAGGTCAGAATAGGCAAGCAAACCGAAATACCGCTGGAGACCGGCGAAGAAATAGGGATGTACAACGCCAAAATGATTTCTTACTGAATAGAGACTGGAACCGCAACCGGGACTGGAATTCCCAAATTGAATTGGAGGCGTCCCTGGAAACTAGACGGCAACAGCAAATTCCGGTTAATAGGCAAGCTCGCAATAAGAACAGAGCACAACAATGGAAGAAACAAGCCAAAGGAGAACCGAAGAAAGAAGAAATGGACTTATCAAAGTTCAAAACTACAGTTGAAACTCCGCCAAAAAATGAACCACTATATGATCTAGTAGCTGGATCAAGACCAGTGAGAAGATTATATTCCCAAAATTGTGACTTTTCGGGTTTTCCACTTTTGTGTGAGACAGTACATAGAGACTTAAAACAGTCAAATCCAAGAATTAAGCGCGAATTACCATATTGCGCTTTTTTACACTCAATGACGACATGTCTAAATGCCTGGTTAATTAACAACGTGACTAAGGTTAATTTAGAAGATAGATATAGCGATGAATCGGATTCACTATCATTAATACCAAATGAGATGTTAATCCCTCAACCAATAGCTGAATACTTGTCCATGATCAATACAGTAATAACACCTTCTGGAGATACTATTAGAGTTAACGTTCCAGATTCATGCGTGCCTCAACATAATATACCAGCAGAAGAAGGAAAAGAGGCTATACCACCAGGAAGTTTTGGTGATGCTGACGCACAGAATCATAATACTTATGAATGTTATGTTTCTCCATATGTGACAAGCCGGTTCGTCGAAGCAAGTGTAGAAGAAGCCGCTGAATATTCACCCTTACCAGCTGGAAGATATCCTGCAAATTCTACACCAACTAGGAATCGTTTACATCTGAGAAATTACGGGGATCTTTCTCTTCATCCGGTCGCATAATTGGAAATAATAAAGTTATTATGAAAATTAAAAAGCAAATAGAATTTGTTTAGTATACGGTGCTTAAAATTGAAGAACATAAGAAACGAATTATGAATTCCGCTTGACAATAATGCGAAAAACTTACTATATTCTACCCTGCACATCAACATGATTATTACATGTATGTTTTATAGGCAGCAAAAATCACAACGTCTACACTGAAACATTACAGCCACATATCGTTGTAACTTCATATCTTATCCGTCGATAATCAATCCAAATTTCAATATCCGTAAATAGTGACATGAATGTAACTCTTAATTGCATACATCAGATCGTCTTAAACCTTCTTAACATGTCTTTAATTACGAAGCCGTTGTGATTATCGTGCATTTCTTTAACCTTAAGTCTTAATTATTATAGTATTTTACGATTTATATTTTAGTTCTTTGTCTATCTTTTGTTTGCGTCCATGTTATTAAAATTATCACTTACAATTCTTTTCAATTTCATGTAATTCTCGATTTCCTGTTTTATGTAAAATGTTTTCAAAAGCATAAAATATTTTATTACTGGAAATCTGGCCAGTTGCCAGACCTTCTATACAAGGTATTCAAATTATTAAGCCATACTACGTAAACTAATCTTAATCACTAGTTTTATTTCTTCTTTTTCTTTTTTCCTCTTTTTTTATTTCTTTTTATTATTTCAACTGTTCTCTTCAATTCTCATCTGTTGTACGCGTAGAATGATTTAACACATTATTATTATGATTTTGATTTATTAGATTAAATATACTGCATCATGTGATGATTTAGATCTTATTTCAGAGTTTGATTCTTAATTGCCCCTTCCCTCTCTTTGCGTTCGAATACTAAGAGCCCAGGATATTCTTTTTATTATCGGGTTTCCATGGTTCATATTCGAGAAATTCCGCCTGGACGTAACAATTTGGTAACTCAGGTAACTCATCTAGGCTAGATAGTAGCACAGATAGGTATATATGAACCCATGGAGTGGCGATCCCGCGGACGCGCGTGCACGGATGTTTCCCGCGCTTTTACTGCAACGTGCGCAATGCGCGTTTTCTCTCTCGCGCGTAATATTTTTTCGATGCGCACTGCGTACGTCAGATAACCGCATCCTTTCGTCTGACGAAATCTTCGCAATAGATTTTGTTTTTTGTCCTTATCGCTTATTTTTTTCAATCAATTCGTAGAATATATAATAATTGCTGTGTAATCGGTAGGACGGAAGGGGAGGATGAGTGAAATCGTTAATGTTTACAACGACTGAATATATTTATTTAATTCGATTGTTGTTACATGTGACAAAAATAAAAGAATACGTAAATGTTTATTTATAAGTAATAATAATATAGGTTCACAATATTGTCCAAAAATCAGCGTGATTAGTTCGCAATCGATTATATCGTTGCGATCGAAAGATTCGACATTCGTTATCGTACATCGTTTTTAGTATGTTCGCAGATTCAGTGACAGTGAACGCGATATTGAGAAGTCGTGAGAATTTCCTGTCGATGTTATCAATCACTGTCGTTAACGAGGAAATAAGACGATTTACACAATATTCGAGATTAAACATATTGAGTACGGTGCTTTTAGACAAGGTCATACGAGTCGTAGATGATTCGAGACGCAACATTGGTACATTATTAATTCGTCCGAAACGCAATGTTATATTTCCAATGTACATTTGTGGCGGAGTACGTATTCCTTTTCTTTTAATTTCTTCGTACTATAAAAGAAACAGTATGATGCGTTTTTGCTCGATGAGCTCTTTCCAGATGCTGGGTGAAAGGGACATCTCCTTGCCATGACAGTCTCCAGAATGATAGTTACCTCAGAAGGCAATTTAACGTCGATACCGATACTCAAGTATTTGTATCCAGTTACAGTCAACGGATATCTTCTTTCCAAAATTCGAACGATTGTGTATCTATAATGAAAGAAAAAAAAAATATGGGACATTTTCTCTCGTTTCTCCGTTGTTATGCTTAGCCCATGGACAAATATTCCATATATCGTCTATGAGACATACACATATTAAATATATTTATGTATACGTCAAAATTATGTATTTTTTTCTGACCGTTCATATCACATGTGTACTTCCGTATGAAGATATAACAATATTCTTTGAAATATTATAACATTCAAAGAATTTATTTTCTAGGAAAAGGTAAGAGTGTATTGCTTTTGCTACGATAGAAACAAAGTGATGTTTCATAGACGATATTAATTCAACGTTTCTGGAATATTTCTCTTTGCAAGGATTTTTACCTAAAGCTACATCCGTTGTAAAAGCCGCAGCATATAATCCACAAGACGTACCATCCGGTTACGTTTGAACTTTTTCAAACCTTATGTCAGTAGATACTACTTACAGAAAACGAGCTGTAATATATAGTCTTTCTTTCGACGCCATTTTATCATATGTACAGCCAGGTATGCTATCATATACGTAAAGCTTTTTTTCATCAAAAAAGATGCAGCGCCAGTGGTCAGTACATTTTCTTCCAATTATTTGGATACTTCTGCGATCACTGGCTGTAATTAATTCTGAATATTCTATACAATGTACACTTTGTATTTCGAAACAAGAGGTTTTTGACACAATGCGTAAGAAGGCATCCAGCGAATCATCATTTAATTTACTATATTTAGACAAGACATTTTCTTTCACCGAAGAAAGAAGTATTTGGCGACCATCTAGAAGTCTTCTGCGACTTGCCATTTCATCTGCTGTCGGAATATGGTTAGTTACATGACTAACAATAATACAGTCATCATCTGACTCCATCATAGCAGTAGAAACAATAGCACTTTTTTCAATGGAAATATTGTTACATTTTAATCATTTATCCTTTTTCGTTTTGTTTTTTTTTCGTAGACTGATTCTATCATTATATGTTGTCGCTTAGTGTTACAAGTATTTACACTTTTGGATTTCTTTTTTGCCTCTATTATATGTTTTGGTTCTCTGATAGGCATATGTCTAATATATGTCCAAGATTTCAGGAAGCATGCATTCAAAATAAAATCGTGTTAAGAAAGGCAGCATTTTATTGTGCCAAAAATTACTGTCTGTATTAACACGAACTGTTTTAACGCTTTTCGACATCCATATAGCAAAAATGCAATAAGTACGCTGCGTTATGTTTAGTTAACCTTGTATTTGATAAAAAAATCGATGATTTCGGTTCATTAGACTTGTATTTTTTTTATCGAAAATACCTTTCAGATGAGATAATGTACGAATAGCTTCCTCCGCTGTTAAATTTTCAGCTGAAAGAGAACCTCTACTACACCATCCTCGTCGAGAAGCCCATCAGGAGAAGCACCCAAACATGGATTATCATAATCAATAAACAATGCGCATGATTTTATATCTTTCTTTAAAATCTCAGATAGATTCTGTTTTGCTATTTCCTCCATATCACGACCATATTTCATGGCTGCGGTATCGATTGATGGATGAAACAAAATACTTTTTACGGTTGCTGCACAAGACATTGTTCGTCTCATACTGGTAGACAATGAACGAATAGTATGTCTCCAACTGAAGGACGAGCTCGGTGTCCAA